GGTTGAAAGGGGGCTTATGTGATCACCTTACTCCCCTATCGTTGCAAGGCAGAGGGCTCAGTAAACACATTCCTGCTGCAACGAATACACACGCAACAACCAAACAAACGTTGGACGTTGTGTTTTCTATGCGGCCTTGTCGTATCAGACACTCAGTTTGTAGTGAAAGGAAAGTAGGTGGTTAGTTCTTCCCGGATTTTCTTGTGCGTTTATTTTTTTTAAGAGGGAGAGTCAGTAAATAGGTCACAAACGGATGTAAAATGTAAAACAAGTGAGATTCGAACCTGGGAAGAAACACTTATTTCTCGACATATCCTCCACCAATACACTTGTCCCATCGCTTTATCAGCGCCTCGAAACCCGCAGCATAGAAGTCTTTTGACTGTTGTCTCAGTCATTTCCACACCTCCGTTTCAGCCTCTTCGCCATCAGCTAAACGTTTGCCACCAAGGTGATTTTTTAGCATCTAGATCTATCTAGATTTTTCTCAAGCCTCTTCCTACAAATTATGGGACAGCACGCTTACAGTAAAATAGGCCACAAACGCTTCCTTGCACATATTTCCCATTTCCTCATGAACAGTGACCATCCCAGGTGAGAATATCGCCACGAATGAGAAAATAGGAGTCAGAAAGAAGATGGCTGTGATCTATTGTCTCGAAATTTTCTGTACAAGTCTGAGGAAATTGTGCAAGAGCCCCAGTCATGATAACTGGCAACTCGACCAAGATTTGAATAGTCTATCCCCTGAACACAAATCGAGAGGATTGCTTCTTCAGCAGCTTGTTCAGTTTTTCACGCATGGAGCTATCCCTTTTTGAGAAGCTGTCAATTGTCTACCCACCTATGCCTTGGTCTTCCCAGTGGTTTCCTTCCTTCCAGCTTACCCACCAATATCCTATATGCATTTCTCCTCTCCCAATTCGTGCTACATGCCCTGCCCATCTCATCCTTCAGATATAGGGAGAATGAGTAAATAAAAGAGAAGTACAAATTTTCCTGTTGATTTGTATGGGTGTGCAATCTTAAGAAACAGTAAGAAGTTCTGGGAAGAAATAATCACATTTCATACAACACAGATTGCTCAGAAAACGACACCTCCAATAAGTGTCTGTTGCCACCGAAACGTCTTTACCGAGTTGTTGCCCAGCAAGGATAGTTGGATACACAGACACCCACAGAAACATGTGTCCAATTTTTTTTTTCTATTGTTGCCTGTGTTTGTTGGTGTGGGAACGTGTTTCCAGAACCTGTGCCTAGCAATGAATGGAAGGATACATTTTACCAAGCCTTAGCAACAATAGGAGGGATACACATGCAGACATACAGACTGATGGGAGGAATTTATGAAGTTCATCGCACACATGGGCTCAGTTGCCATGATACCGAAGTTCATAAAGACTGATTCAGGCATTCAGAAGTTAATATGGCTGATTCATGGACACATAAGATACACAGACAGCATTGAGATTGCATAAGTTTAATTTAGGAAAGTAGGCTAAAAATGGGTGTTTTTTTCAGAACCGAGTGCTGAGGAGAATATTTGGATATGAGATAGAGGTAGTGATAGGAGATAGGTGAAAATTGCACAATGAGGAGTTTAATAATTTTCACATCACTCAACAATGAGCAAATCAAGGAGGATAAGATGGTTTTGGCAAGTAACTTGCATGGGAGAGGTGAGAAATGTGGATAGATTTTTAGTCTGAGAAATTGAAGGGGAAGTTACTTGGGAGATTTAGGCATAGTTGGAAGGATAATATTAAGTGGAACATAAGGGAATAGGCTATGAGGATATGGACTGGATCTGTTTTGGTTCAGGAGAGATCTGGTAGTGCACTGTTTTAAACATGGTAATGAACTTTTGGGTTTCATGACAGGTAGGGTATTTTTTTGGCTATTTAAGCAGCTAATTTCATTTGAGGGACTCTGGTGTGTGAAGTTGGTTAGGTAGCTGTAGTTTCTAAACTAGTACTGCAAACATCTGTCTTACTGTCTGTCTAAATCATCCTTGAAGGTATGTTTCACCTTGAGTAAGGTAAAGCTATCCTTCTGACAGACCATGAAGGCTGTTACGGTTGTGAGACGTTGAGACTCCCACATTTTCTCTAGACAATTCACTCACAAATGGCGGTAAGTTTGTCACCGTTATATGCCTGCTGCCCTTTACACCCAGGAAGATTCCTGTACTAATTTCTGTTAGAGGCTGATTCAACTCCAGGACCATGGTGTGGCTGGAAGGATTAGGCAAATTGAAAAAATCTACCTCATCGGGGCTTGATCCTGTGACCCTCCAGCTTGTAGCATAGTGTCTCAGTCTACTACAGTACCGTGTGCCCCCTTTTACCTTCAGTAAGTAACCATACAGAAGAAAAGTTCTTTGTGATCAATGAGATCTCCAGTATGAATACTTTGATTCTCCTTATGTTGAAATAATGTTGACATAATAGTTCATCTTAGTATCTGATATTGATTCAACTTCCAAGATATTTTAGTCATAACAGGCAGCATTGTATTATATACTGTCTTTCTTCAAGAGTCAAGCACAGAATTTATTACACACACAAAGTACATCAGACCTAACTAACTCCATGGAGATTAGCCTTTCTTGAGAAGTTGCCAGTTGTGCAAATACTCAAACATTTTATGGAACCCGAAGGTTCATTACTGAGTTCACTAGAGTCCTCCACTGGTCCCTATCCTGAGCCAGATAAATTCAGTCCATATGACCCCATCTTATTACTTATAAGGCCCATTTTAATATTATCCACCTTTCTACATCTTGATCTTCCTAGCAGTCTCTTTCCTTATAGCTTTCCCACCAAAATGCTATATTACATTGGACCTACTACTATAAAAGGAACTTGACTCCAAAGCAGGTTGAAGTATTTAATTTTCTCTATATCACATCTTACATTATGCAATTAAATTGCCACACAGGCTTCATAAAGTGACAAGAAATTTTCATACTTTCTCACAAACAAGAATGAAAACGTAGGAATCAGAAATACCACAGTTCATAACAAATTTAATTACATGTATTAGCATATTAGAGGTTATCTAAAAAAAACTAAACTCCGTGATTTTAGTCCGCAAGCGAACTATACTGGCCAAGCGACCGCCGCTTGTCGGCGAAATTAGTGCCAACTTTTGCAGATAGAGGGTGTCGCATGGTCAGTGCAACAAATCCCCATGGCCATTAGTTCTGATTTTCTAGACCGGAGCCGCTATTTCCTTGAAATAGCTCCTCAATTATCATCACGATGCTGAGTGGACCCCGTCTCAGACCCACTATTTCTCAGAAAAAAAAAACTGGTAGCGCCGGGAATCGAACCTGGATCTCTGGATATGTAGCCAGGAACTCTGACCACTAGACCACAGTGGCAGTCAAGGTCATCCAACATAGATATTTTATGTGTAAGATATGTCTGCCTGTCTGTGATGCAATTTGACAGTTCTTTCTTTAATTTTACATGAGAGGCTTTCACTAAAAGTTTGCTGGGCAATTCCAGTTCTCAGCCATGTTGATCCATAACAAATTCAACTTGACTGAAGCCCATAAATGGATTAACAGTCTGAAAGTGAGCCTAATAAACTAGTGAATTTTCTGTACCACCTGTAACAGTCTATAGAGTAAATGAGCGAGCCAAGAATTGCTATGCTAGTCACCCACTTCCTAAATTTTTCTCTATAGTAGTTGGTTGAGACACTGTGCTACAAGCCAGAAGGTCACGGATTCGATTCCCAATGAAGTCATTAGATTTTTCAATTGACCTAATCCTTTCAGCCACAATATCTCCCTTGGATCAACTCAACCTCTAACAGAAATGAGTACCAGGAATCTTCTGTTGACACAGGACAACTGGCATATAAAGCTGACAACCCCACCACCATCTGTGAGGCGATTGTCTAACAAATGTGGGAGCCTCGTTGTTTCACAAACATATGTGCTTCCACAGCCTTTTACAGGGATAGCTATATCTTTTTTACCTATAAGAGTAATGTCATAGGTGGTTAGACACTGGCTTCTTGCCTAAGCTTCAATGTTCAAGTGAGATTGGTGGAGAGTTGCACTGGAGCAGGGCTTTCTCCTAGTTTCTCCAATATCCCACCATCATTCCATATTCATCTATCACCACCCGTCTGACTCATGAAAATTCCCTGTCAAGGCAGCATATCACATCATTGGCCTTTAAGCTGGTGACCTTCTCTTACCTGGCACTTGGCTGAACAAAGAGTGAGGCAGTTAATGTCACAATATCAAATACATTCTTCCCAATTGTGTGCCAGGATAGCGTAGTCGGTATAACGACTGGCTACGGGCTGGATGACCGAAGGGTTGGATTTCGAGTTCTGGAAGGGTCAAGAATTTTCTTTTCTCCACGACGTCCACACTGGCTCTGGGGCTCAATCAGCCTCCTATCCAGTGGGTACTGGGAACTTTATCCCCGAGGATAAAGCAGCAGAGGCATGAAGCTGACCACTCAACTCCAGCTAATGCTGAGCCCAAGAAAATGTGGATCTATATATTCACTCCCTCATGTGCCTTCAAGGCATAGTGGTTAATTAGTTAAGCACAGGGACAACTTTACCTTTTTTTTTTTTTTAAGGATTACATCTTGTTGCATATATACAATGAACATATATCATGTTTCCATCAACGCAACAATACTTTATTATTTGTTGATTTATATAGCACGCACCACATGTTTCGACCACAAATGGATCATAGAGAAACTTGCAGCACCTGAAGATGACCCATTTGAGGTCGAAACATGTAGAGCGTGCTATATAAATAAACGAATAAATAATAAAGTACTGTTGGACTGATGGTAAAAATTATATATGTTCATTTATCTTTTATTTTACCTTTACTCTTCCCAATCATACATAATGTCTATCTTGTAGTCTTCTTTGAAAGAATCCCTAAGATTAAAATGAAGGCTAAAGTATAATTAAAATTACGCAAGATACATGAGACTGTTCCTTATTTATTGCAGAAAGGTATGCTGCAGATGTTCAAACTTGGAGAGTTCCTGCGGACTCGTTACAATGGCTACCTAAGCGAACTGTATTATCCCAAAGATTTTCTGATGAAAAGCAGTGCTAATGATCGTTGTCTGATGAGTGCTCAGGCTGTTCTTGCAGGGCTGTATCCGCCCAAAGGGATGCAAGTGTGGTTACCTGATCTCAAATGGCAACCCATACCAGTTCATTCCACCCCTAGGCACCTGGACCAGGTAACATGATTTGTTCATTTTCCAACTTTTTTTAGGATCTATCCTTTTTGAATAACACTTCCTGTTTTTATATGGGTGGTATTGTTAAGGGTTTACTTTGTAATTTTCTTCCAAGCCCCACCCCAAATGCATTAACACTGATTCCTTCTATTCCAGTCAATACTCAATGATGTAAGGCTCAGCTTCTTACAGCATGCATAACAACTAACCAACAAACAAATTTGCTAACTTAATTTTTTCATCCCGTTGTGTATACAGAATTAAGGTATGCAGATCTGTCTATACAGTGATTGGATATAAGTTATTAACACTAATAAAATGACAATATGAAACCAACTAAGTATCTAAGTAACAAAGTGTAATTAACTAGCTGATTCACTAAATAAGGAACCAACCAATATACATGTTAACTGATTGAATGACTGAGTGATGTGGAATATGTCATATAAATACAAAACATATGTACAAACCCAATGGAGTTCTCACACAAGAGCAACCAAGAATGCACAGTGACTACACACAAGGCTATTTAAAGAAACATAAGTTATTTTGTAGACAATAGGGTTAATTATAAACAGACATATTGATGTTGAAAATGTAGTAAAAATGAAATAGAAATACATTTGCTTCCTGAATTAAACACAATACAGAAAATGTTAAGAAGCCCATTGATTAAGAGTTGTTTTATTGCTTTTCAGCTCATTGTAATGAAGAAGCCATGCCCAAGAAATGAGCAGGAATTACGTAAAGCATACAGGTCCAGTGTGATAACAGAGTTGAACCATGAGAATGGAGATTTATATGATTACCTGACCATGCACACAGGACAGAATATCACCAATGTCACAGCAGTCGAGTTTCTCTATAACACACTGGAAATAGAGGCAAGTTCAAGATATACTCGTTCACTGAGAGCTGGTGTGGCATAAGACTCAGGGTGACGTTTGGTGCAGTTTTGCTTCCATCTGGTACTGGAGCCAAGTCTGACTAGTGTAAATTAAAAGAAAAAATTAACCTAAAGTATGCTGTTACGGATGTAGACTTTAAATTTAAACTGTGATTTGGAAGTCAGATTCAATTTAATACTGATAGATATTTTGTGTTATAACATCATATAGTCCTGTGTGTGAACATCCCACATTATCACGCATTTTCTGCAACGCACACTCTTCACATCACTTTTCACCATCACGCACGCTAACCAATCAAATTGCTCCAAATGTTCGCATTTATACTGCGCTTGCTGCTAGCCCCACATCTACATCATCACGCACGCTAGCCAATCAGCGCCCTGCAAATTCTTCCTCCTCAATTTCAAGTTTCGCTCCACCCACCAAGCAGTGTATAAAAAGGAGCAGCCACAAACGGGCAGCATCAGTCTAACTCCAGCCTTCAGTCTTCGATCAAGCTACATCAGCCAGCACACTTCGTCGCCAGCGCTCGGTCTTCGGAGGCATTGGCAGGCTGCGCCAGGCACGACTGCCTCAGCCCTCCGGCCCTCACACCTGACGCACTGCGGCAACTCGCCTGGACTCGCCGGTGGTCGTGTCCCTGTCCGACCCACTGGGCATCTGGCATAGCCACTGCCTCATCACTCCTACGACCGCGCTGAGTGACCACGCAACTTCAACTCCCCTGCTGCACAGCGATCAAGCAACTACCACAATCTGCCGCACTGCGATCAAGCCACAGCCGCACTGCGGGCAGTCAACACCGAAACTAATCTCTCCCTACCGGCGTGCGCCGCGCTACCTCACCGGTCAAGCATCTCAGCAACCACGGTCCTTTTCAGGACCAACAAACTGTTCCGAAGAAGTGGGTTGTCATCGGATTAATGACAAAACTACATAAAACCCCACATTATGCAGATGTTGAAGTTTCAGAGGAACATGCTGCTAACATTTTCAGAGATGAAGTGTGCAGGATGAGGGAACAGTTATATTATATACCAGAGTACCCTCTCCCATAGGCCTGAAAAAGAGCCTTCCTTACAGCCTGTCTGTATCACTAAAATGATTCTTACCCAAAACACGTAACACCAAAAATGGCAGTAGCATTATTCCTCCAAAACACAAATCTCTGCCTGCAAATCTACATGATGTCATACACCCAGAATACCTCACTCTAAACACTCATCGTCAAGAATACCTCAAAACTTATAAAACAGAACTTTATAGCATACATGTCAGTATACATTATAACCACTTGTATTTAACGAACAGAAAGCTCTGACACACATAATTTTCAGATATAGTGTAGACACTGCTTTGACAAATGTGAATATGACCAAATTACTGACTCATTCCCTTTTCAAAATAAACAATACAATCAGTAATCATGCTATAGGCATCACATGGGCTTCCACTGCCAGAATGGACACGAACTGTGTACCCCGAGAAAATGAGACATCTGGCAGCAATTAGTCTTACAGTCTTCACCCATAATGACATCCTGAAGAGACTGACTGGTGGTAAGTGTGTGCTGTTGATACAAACCTTTGCTTCTTGAATTTACTATAGAGAGAGGCAATGTGATGGGTATCTGTTAATTTGTTTAGACAATGTAGATGAGTGATTATCAAATTATACAAACAGATGATCTCAACAAAAGTTCGGTTTGGTCTCTAGTAATACAGTCGCTTAGTCATTACAGTGACTAGATATGGGCTGCCATTCACAGTAGCTGCACTGTCTAAGGCATGAAGTGTCTTAATCTTCTCAAACACTGGGATCAGGGGTTCAAATCCCACTTGGGGCATGGATGTCTGTCTGCTTTTATTCTCTATTTGTGTTGTTCTGTGTAGGTAGCGACCTTCTGATGGTATAATCCCTCATCCAAGGAGTCCTACTGACTGTCTATAAGTTTAAGAAACTGAAAGAAGTGACCAGGGTCTAAATTTGGCTGTAGGGCCATTAATAGTTAGGTATGAGCTAGAACAGTGATTCTTAAATTTTTCAATCTTGTGTCCCACTGGTCATTCTGGTAAAAACCACAGTCCCACTACAGTAAAAGTGAAGCTTCTTTTTTCTCAGTAAGCATGTTTTTGTAGTTATATACATTTTAGTATTATGTTATCCCTCATCCAAGGAGTCCTACTGACTGTCTATAAGTTTAAGAAACTGAAAGAAGTGACCAGGGTCTAAATTTGGCTGTAGGGCCATTAATAGTTAGGTATGAGCTAGAACAGTGATTCTTAAATTTTTCAATCTTGTGTCCCACTGGTCATTCTGGTAAAAACCACAGTCCCACTACAGTAAAAGTGAAGCTTCTTTTTTCTCAGTAAGCATGTTTTTGTAGTTATATACATTTTAGTATTATGTTAATCTTTAATGAATATTTGTAAAAATGTAGAGACTATAATAATTTTTTATTATGTGTTTTATTCCTGTAATTGTATAAATCTGCATAGATGTGTTGACAGAAATGATTTCAGTTTCTTGTCAGCTCATGTTATGAGAGCATTATCTGTCCTGAATTTTCGAATCTGACACTTTGTAGAATAAACTGTGGACAAAAAATCAGCTTCATACTTTTCTCTGACAGTTGACTAAATACCTGATTTGCATTTGATCCCTAGCCATAGCACAGCGTGTCCTATCTTAAAGTTTACCTCTCCTGTGTCCTTAGTTGTTCCAAATGTTAATCAGAATTGTACGTTGAACTACAGTGTAACTCCACCACCCTGAGTGTTTTTGAGTTTTTGGCATGAATAATAATTCTTTGATATATTTTGATGCTTAGTAATCTCTACAACTGTTGCAGCATTGTTAAATAAACTACAGATTAATTAGCAAAACTGAGAAATAAATCATTAAATCATGGTTAGTCTAATTAACAGTACTGAGGAGCTAAAAATGAGATTCCAAATTTATAGCACTGGCTTAAATTTCATTCTGAAAGAAAAATGTTAAGGTTATAATGCCAATTTTAAAATAGCTGCATATCATATTATCACTGTTTTCACAAATTCGCAATCATGTGAATTTTACATATAAAAGTTTTGAGCATGTACACCAAAATTTTAAGTCTTTGCCATAGAATTCAATACAATTCAATTCAATATTATCACCACTACTGTTCTACTGAGATGGCAGCACCAGCCTCTGCCAGTCTTCCTGCATTTATTCGGCATAAAATAAAAAATAGAATGTACAAATGACAGACCCAACCCCTCGTCAGAGAGGGCGCCCCACATGGACAGGACAGTAACTTTCACAAAAAGAGAAACATCTGGTCATGACCCCCTGCTGGGGCTTGATACCAAGACAGACAGACTGACCATCAGTCGCAATGTAACTTTGACTTTGACTTAGACAGTAGAATGTAGTGCAGCTAACTGCGGTTGATTGCGTGATGTTTCATATTTCCAATACCTGTTGATTGCTGAATTGGATAGATTTATTGTAGAGAAAGCTGTTTTATTTATTTATTGGCCTGTTCTATAACAGCGTTTATTACATGACATCGAATGATAGGATGTCTAGTGAATAATTAATTGGAAATAATGCGGAAGGAAGTGGTTGTGGGCTGAGGAAAACTTAGAAAACGATGGGCTATCCAGCACGATATTTAAACCCGGAACTTCCCAATATGAAACATGAATATGGAACGTGGAGGAGAGAAGTAATAAATACTGAATTTTTAATTATGCTGTTCAGGAAAAATTGCTAGATGGTAAGAAGAAACAGTAACTCTGTAATTGGTAACCTATTTTGATTGCAATTGTGATTTTCAGGCCCATTAGTGGGAGAGATTGTGCAGAATATGGAGAATAAGAGGAGAGGTTCACTGAAGCCTGATCGCAAGATGGTGCTTTACTCGGCACATGACATCACCATTGTGAATGCGTGGCGTGCTCTGGGATTCACAGATCTCATTAAACCTGATTATGGAGCCTCATTGGTGTTTGAGTTACATACAACAAGATCTGGAACAAGCTATGAGGTGAAGGTTGGTATTTAGGCTTACCAATTGTGTGTCTGAATGCTGGTAAGAATGCTTAAATATATTTTGAACCAAGCCATTAACTGGAAACAGTAGTTGCATTACAGGTCACCATTTGAGCTATATCAAGCTACATTCTTCTGGGTTGCAATCTTCATGTAATTTGGTAGGTGGGAACCATTTTGGAGGAACCAGCTGTCTTCATCTTCAATTGACATTTTCTTCCAAAACGATGTTATGCATCTACCAAATTAGACAACCTGGAAGGCCATAATTTTGACAGTCACTGCATGAGAACCTCAAATCTCACAGTGTGGTGTTATGGTTGTTCTTTGCAGTTGTTATACTTGAGCAACACAACCACCTCACATCTTATTATACTGAACATGCCGAACTGTGGACAGCCCTGTTACCTGGACACTTTCCTGAGACTTCTCCGCCCAGTAGTGCCAGAAGATTGGGATGAGGAGTGCCAAACCACTATAGAATAGAAGTAAATTGTAATGTACATACTGAATTTGTGATTATTTTTATATTTTAAAAGTATGGCATGATTTGTATATGGCCTGACGTGTATAAACTATGAAAAAACATGTATATACTTTTTAAATTTGTAAGAATTTAATGAATTAATTTTTCACATGTGTTGATAAGTGAACAATAAGGGTCCAGTGCTATGACCCTCATCAGTTATCATAAAAAATTGTTTCTGATACCTCCAGTTAATGTATTTTGACCTGCTTGACCTGTGTTTGTCTGTAAAAGTAAAGGAAAACACATCCAAGATGGGACCTTCCATAAGACCAGATTCAATTCACTGAGACCTGCCTTGTTCCAGAGCACACATTTTACGCTGCAAGTGGACGTGCCTGTATTTTTTACTATTCAAGATGACTGCTGTGATAAATCTGAACATCTGGATACAGTACTAATGTAGTTACACCTTATTAAAGTGGCTGGGCTTAGGGAATGGTGAAAATGTTGTACCTATAATCCAACGTGGACTGTAGTAAAGGATGTTCATTTGTATGGAAAGTATATCAGGAATGAAATTCATACATTGTCATACATGTCATTGATCTTATTTATGTCTATGTGTCTGGCCCTTTTAATAAATTTTAAACACTCTGACTAAGTTGCTTTAAATTTGGTATGGATATTGGAATCCAGTTTCATGTTCATAGCCTTTGTAAATGGTGGGGAATTTTATGCGTGAATGACTGAATGAGTGTGACTGAAGGGATTAAGGAAAATTATAAAACATACACTTATAATAGCTGATGGCTAAGGCAGAGAATCAAACTCCAGAACTCCTAACCATGAAGCAGGGAGTCACTTATCCATGATCTTAAGTGGTGTAAAAATGAAGGTTGTATCTTATCACAGTTTGATACCTCAGGTGTTGGTTATGTAATAGAAAAGAAACGGATATCGAATGAAATGACAGGAACACTGATAAACAACTTGCACAACAGAAATAACATGTTAAAAATAGGGTATTATGTTATAACTTATTAGAAATAGTTACTGGAATTTCATTCTTAGTATTTCATGTCATTTAAGTCACTCCCAAATAGAAAGTATTTTAGAACTCTAAAACATCATTTTATGCTTATTCTACTGTTTTCCAAGGATGGGCTCACAACCCTCTTTTGGCTTCAGTTCAGCATGGGGATATATGATCTCTTATTTTACTTAACTAAATCATTCACTCACAGAGCTGAGCCCTACTTGAGAAGCTGCCAATTGTGCAGCTACTCAAGGACCTCCCAGCATTTTATGTAAACTGAAAGTTCATTACTGTGTTCACAAGAGCCATCCTCTAGTCCCTATCCTGAGCCAGATCAATCCAGTCTGTATCATCCCATCCTATCTCACTAAGATCCATTGTACACCCATCTGTGTCTTGGTCTTCCTAGTGGTCTCTTTCCTTCTGGCTTTCCCACCAATATCCTATACGTATTCCTCATCTCCCCCATTCGTGCTACATGACCTGCCCACCTCATCCTCCTTGACTTGATCATTCTAATTGTACTTGGAGAAGAGTACATGTTATGAAGCTCCTCATTATGCAGTTTTCTCTAACCTCCTGTCACTTCAACTCTCTTTGATCCAAATATTCTCGTCAGCACCCTCTTCTCAAACACTCTCAGTCTGTGTTCCACAATGTCACAGACCAAGTTTCACACCCATACAGAACCACAGGCAAAAATTGTAGTTTCGTATATTCTATTTTACTTATGTTTTCCTCTTGAATCAGGTTTTGATTTGTTATAGTCATTCACAAATATCTGAACTGTGCCACATTTTCGAAGGTTCTGTTAGCTATCTTTATGTCATGATTTTGCCATGCATTCTGGTGACGAGACAGCAACATATACTTAGTTTTCTCTGTGTTTACTTCTAGACTAACCTCCTTACTGGGGTCAGTTAAAGTTTGTGTGTTTTTCTTTATGGAACCTATGTTATCACCCAGTAGATTCACATCATCAGCATAGACCAACGGCTGATGTGTCCCATTTGATTTTAGTCCCACCTGGTTTCCCTGGACCTTCCTAATGGCATATTCTATAGCAAAGTTGAAAAGCAATAGCTATAAAACATTTCCTTCTCTTAGACCATTCTGGATAGGAAAATTATGAGACAACTATTTTCCTATATGAACTTTACTATATATTTCGTTTAAACACATTTTAATCATCCAAACTTATTTCATGGGTACCCAAAACTCTATGAAAATGTTGTTCAATAATTCCCTCCTAACTGAATCATAGGCTTTCTTGAAGTCTATGAATAGGTGATGTACTGTCTCATTGTAGTCCCACTTTTTCTCCAGTATCTGACGAATGCAAAAAATCTGATCAGTATTTGATTTGTTGTGTCAAAACCTACACTGATGATCTCCAATAATTTCATCTATGTATGGACTTAAACATGAGAGAAGAATATTGAACAAAATTTTGTATGAAGTTGATGGCAGTGATATCCCACGATAATTACTACAGACAGTTTTATCACCCTTCTTGTGAACTGGGAAAATAATAGGCTCCTTCCACCAATCAAGCAACTCTTTCTTATTCCAAATAGAATTAATTAGCTTACAGATATTAGAACATAATATTTCACTTCTTGCTTGAATCAATTCTGGCAGAATTTGATCACTACCTGGTGGTCTTTACCATTTTAACATTACAATAGCAATTTCAAACTCAGAAGGGCTAGGTTCAGGTACTAACAGCTCACCTGTATGTATTTCTATCTGCCTAATGTCACTGACCCTGTATATGAGGGATAGTCAAATGAAAACAGGTCAGAAGCCAAAACATATTAAAGAACATTTCTTACCTCAAAAGTAATCTCCAAAATTGTTAATACATTTATCCCACTGAGAGATAAGACGGTCAGTCCCATCCTTGAAAAAGCTTGTGGGCTGTCTACGGAACCACATCTTTACCCAGCCGCACACGTCTTCGTCTGGTGCAAACCAATGTCCACAAATATCTCTCTTCAGGTCTCCAAAAATGTGAAAATCACATGGCTGTAGGGTGGATGTTGAAGCACTTNTGTGAAACTTACATGGGGAGAGATCTTGGCTGTAGGGGGGATGTTGAAGCACTTGCCAACCAAATCTCTGTAGC